GCGGGACGCTGCAATATGGCTGAAGTTGGGAAAATGTGCGATAATCTTGTCTAGGTAACTCAATGCACAAAAAGGAAAACCCATTTGTCTTTAATTGGTTGGGTTCAATACTAATCCATATCCAATTTTATAAGTACTATTTAAAATTTTTGCACACCAATATATGCCAAACGGTTCGCTTATGGCAAAATATGACCACATTGTTTATTTAAGTGTATTCCTACAATGCACAAATTCATACATCCCCTAGTTTTCTGCAAATTGTCCAGTCATGTATTTGTTGATCAAGATTTTGGAAGCTTTCTCAGAAGAGTGATTATTTTGACCAGTTATTTTTAACGACAACTTTCACTAAAAAAATGCATTTGTGATATGTAGGCTCCGCTATATAATATTTTCTGTGTGCGCTCGAGTCTGATACCTATCGAGCTCAGATAGACAAAGACTCAGTACAGATATCTCTTACGCCGATGCACGTGAGTAGGCAACGGAGGCTATGACGGATAAGTACGAGCCGGATAACTAGCCAGCGGAAACCACAGATTGCTCTTGATAATATCAGTAAGAAGTATTCTTTGGTAATCAAGTGATTAAATAATTGATCAAGTGATATCAACCAATCAGAAAGACTAGTCAAAAACGCGTCTCTTTAGGGAGTTTGTGCGTCCCTTACCAACCGAAGCCACGTTCATTTTCCAAATCACTTTCTGTGTTACGGCTAATTATCATTTTGAATAAACAGATTTGATTTTCAATTATCTCTCTATTAATTGAGTGGGTGCATTGCTCCAGATGTATAAGAGATGGAATGGATGAATGTGGGATTACGATGTTATGTGATACTCCTTTCATTGCTTAAATTATCTTCTACTTTAGGCGTAATAAGGTAACCTTCTTCCCAAAGTGCAGTAAATTGTACACCTTTAGTTAACACCAAAGGTACTATGAGACATTCACGGTCAAAATCACTGCACCTTGCATTTAGTGAAAGGATCAGTAGATTTGCACTTTGTTAATGCTAAACCTGTGTCCTTAAAATACCTTTATAACACACATCAGTTGAAATTTGAACCTGTTTTTACATGTCATAGCTCGCTTTTGATGGAGTAAGTACTTAAGACCACTTGAGTGCTTATATATTTATAGTAGTGTATTAGTTTGCCTAAAACAGACAGACTCGAGAAAAGATTATGGGCATGATTACGGCCCTTAAAAAAAATGGGCATACTGCTCCCCATAGCAACTGTTGCATTGATTTTAATGCAAAAGTATTAACTAACGAAAGCCATACTTGGAGCTGCTGTTCAAAGATGAAAAAGTGCTTTGCTTCAAAAAGCATTAGTTTTGGTAAGCGAAATTGCATCGCTATGAACAATAAAGTTGGGAAATGTAAGGAAAATACTCGCACATCACTTACACTACAATTTTATGAATTTGCTTACTCTTTAGCGTTTAATAACACATAATAGAAATGGGAATGAACACTCTCTAAGAGAATGCGAGTAAGAAAATGAGAGGTGAATGTCTGCCTGCAGATTGAGCTACATTGTATTCACTTAACTTGCTAAAATTGGGAACAATCTATGCAAGCATTTCTACCTATTTGGTATTCAAAGATAGCATAACCCATCTCCAATCACTACGATAATCAGAAGCTTATGATTACCCACTTTCCCCGTTAAACGAGATGATTTATTAGGTGGATTGGATGAAATGAAAAATGAGCATTTCACCATGCGCACTTAGTCAAGCCGTTTACCCCTTCCTGACGTATTAGCTGCACCAGTGCCTGTTGATGATAATAATGAACGTAGAAGAAAAAGATGGTAAAACAGGTTTTGAATGGGATTACTTGACTCGAAAGAGACAGATATGGGACGGTGGTTGGGACCAAGAAGTATTGCCTTTAAAAGGCCAGGAGATGAAAGGGAAGCAGAAAAAGACAAATTTCAAGTTAATGGCAAAGACCAAGGTGTTGGTGTGCCATTAAACGCAAAACATGTATTCGTAGGCTGCCTACGTTCCTGTAATATTGAATAAATTTATTTCTCGATATTTAGCTTATTCAGCTTTTGCGTCAACAAAGTAACCTACGTAGGGACGTTAGTGGCAGCCAAAGGCAAACTGGATCTAAATAAGGGGCCAATCCAAATCTTTCATAATATCACGGGTGCAGCTGTCATGTCAATGGCGTTTCATTGCAAAGATGCATTTGGCAGAAGCAATTTGACAACACAAGTGCAAATTATCTTCTTGCGAATTCTTTCAAGTTTCTCCATTTCCCTTTATTTAGTTGTGATCCTAATGTGCTTCGCAGCTCTATTTCAGCTTTTTTGCAGAATAATCAGACTAGGGTCAGCAAAGACCTATTTTTATGCTACTGTCAGATGTCATGTCTAGTCCCTTCAAATTTGGCTAAATGCATTTAGGGAGAATGTAAAATAGGGAAAAGCGAAACATGGTTTTTATAAGTAATGACAGCAATGTAGATGGAAGTGGGCAATAAGGTCAGTTGACTTTAAAACAAATTAATTCACGCAATTCAAATCACGAACTCTGTATTTTTAGGGAGGGGTTTGAGCCCAGAGGTAAAATCCAAAAGCCGTTTCGAATTATTTTCCTCTGCCAGTATTATTTGTGTCATGCAGTTGGAGGGAAATCCACCCCACTGTTTCATAATCCGCCCTTTTTAAAAGCCTAATGACTCCTAAAACGCATGCGGGGCATTACCCGAGACTAGTCCACCTCTATTTGGCATTTGCATGCAGATGCCTTCTGCGTAGCAAGGTAAACACAGCAAAGTTAGTGGAAAAGTCATTTTAATATTCTAGCATTCTAGTGAAGCATAAGAGCTTTAGCAACATTGAATCTACAGGCGAAAAGCTCAAAACTATTGATAACTTACAGAGACTTCGTACGCAACGCCTTTCCCTTCCACTTTATTGGCATGAGTGTGGTTGCTGAGACTACGGAAGAGTGTTTCTGAAACTCATGATTATTAACCTTCTGACGATCACATATTTTTTGTGCGAGAACAATGCCTTAGAGAGGTGGTACAATCTACCGAGACAAAATGTTCACGTATCTAGGTACACAAATGGACCTAAGTGCGGAATTACTGCAATATATCTGTTACAATCTATTTCAATCACCAAAAAAACAAATGTAAGGTTTGATTTTCTATTCCCCAACGGAATCCTTCGCCGTTAGTTCGTGTCGGATTCTGAAATTTTAAGGTACTAAAAATTGCCGTAGGTTGATACTGTTTGTTGTGGATTGCTTTAATTGCATAGCTCACTTCTTCGGCATTACGTAGGTTTTCACTAGCCTTATGCTGCTTATAAGGACACACAATGTCTATCAATTCCCCATTATGCATTTCGGTATGTATTCGTTCGCATTTAATTGGTCAAAGTGACCACGCTGTTAGCATTTCCTCCCAAATGTGGAAAAGTTGAGACAGTAGTCTTTTTTCTCTTGGAATACCATCGCACATGCGTTGGTGCATACACGAATGATCTAGACCAACAATGTAAATATATTCTTGCTCCAGGCTGTTCGCCTCCTCTTGTATAAACATTACGAAACTACAGATTATGGGTAAAAATAAACTAAATACTATTTGCTTTTGTATGAGTAGATTGTAAAAACGCACAAATTTGCAGTGCATAAATAAAAGGGGCTCGTCCGATGGCTTTTTAAGAATGTGGGCTCTTTTTTGTCAAAGTATCTTTAACAAAATTTCATTTGTGATATTATACCTAAAGAAAACGGTGCCTACTGGAGAAGCCAGACGTAAAATCTTTGCAATACACTAGAGTTTCTACATTTTACTGTTTTTCATTTGTTAGATTTCAAGTTATCCTTTCTGACTACAGTGTGGTCGTTTCCATGAAAGAAGCATATCTGCAACGAAATGCTAGATGTATATTGTGCACTTTATCTACACTCTTCCTCCTTTCGCATTCCACTGACGCCACAGCACCTTGCTCAGCCGACTCTCACACGCTTCTCTCATCGTCATTTTCTCGGATCTCAACTTCAGTTCCCTCCCGGCTCCCCCTCCTCCGACCTCATACTAGGCCTATGTTCTTTTAGTAGGTTTCATTTTTCTCTCCACTCAACTCATATCTTACCATGACATTATTAGAGGCTTTAGAGATTCAGCCTCTAGACCAGTCTAAGCATAGACTGGCCCATACTACACTAGACGAAACCACAATTTGCCAATTACTGCACCTTGATTTGGCGTGGCTTAGTTTGCCGCACCTTGTCTTACCATGCTCCAAAACTTGTATTTAACATTTCTTTACTTTCTTTCTGCCACTCCAGTTTGTGCCATTTCACTTGGCCCCAGTTCCACCTCTTCCTACACCTCCTCCTCCACTTATCTTCTGGAGAGTTGAGGTAAGCACTTGCAGTTCGTGGTCTAGCCTTCCTCGCCCTCCATTTCCCTCTCCTCTGCTTCTAGCCAATCCGTCTACTTGATTTGTGACTATGCCTTTCTGTCTCACTGCCCGTTTGTCCGTACTTGTGTGTGTCTTTGCCAATTCCCCTCTTTTTTCACTAGACAGCCCCCTCAACTGGTGAGGCACGGAAGCAGGTAAGAATGTGTGTATGCGCATGTGCGTGTTGGACTGTGCATGTACATTCGCCTCACCTTCACCTCCTAACCCGACCCCCTAGTCTACGAAACAGACATTTCCATCCGAGGTTAAGTGAGACTTACTCTGATCATTCGTTTGTTAACTTTTTGGTTGAATTTTTCCAACTTCTCACTTCATTTATACTCTGCCATCTAACCAATCCCAATACTTTATTTGACCTCTTTTCTCCTTCCTTCAGGTTGAAATGTGCATTTCGTACGAAAACGAAGAGGTATCCAAATGTTGAAAAGACATCTAGCCCAAAGGGCGACATTAGGGAAGTTTAGGCTGAAGACATGCAAAGTCGACCACACGACGCATCGAAAAGTCAAAAGTCCCACACCATACAGACATGGAATAAAGTGGAGCGGCGCAATGGAAGTGACAACAGACGAATTTGAAGGCGAGTTCCAATATTGCACTTGTGAGCGTCGCAACCAAACAGTTTCTCTCAGTAGACAACGAATATTATAAGGATGGATATCTTCACGTTCGAGCTAGACCAAGACGACCTGTTACCAACCCCCTACATTCCATGAGTGCCAAATGAAAGGTGGGAAGTGGAATCCGCAAATTTGAGGAGGAGAGGGTACCGGAAGTAACGAAATGGAACAGTAGACACAGAGCAGAAGCACACGAAGAAAATGAAAACAAGGTGAAAACTAAAGCGCAAATAAGGATTTCTAGACGCTTTGATGTTTTCGAAGCATTGCTGCCCGAAGCACCTCACAATGTGGCTTTTACGACATTGATTTCAAGATCCAGTGGAAACCACTTTGTACGTATCTATGTGCTTTAAGCTATCCAGTTTTGTATCCTGTAGTATTTCTTCTTACTCTCTCCTTCTCAGTTAACGTTTAAGAGACTATTCATTTACTGGTAAGCTTTTAATGTTGTCATTCCAGTCAACGTGCTGAGCAAAATAAGCATTAACAAAGTTGGTTCTGACGCATTAAACTCTTCTTATTTTCTCTTATTCTGCATTTATATTAGTGACGCCATATATGTTGATTACGCTACCAACAAATTATTTAATTTTTTTCAAGATGAAAATTCACAGAGCATTTTATCACAGTAAATATAAACAGACACCACTTTGTGCTAGTGGAAAACGAAAGCATTCAGCATCGCTTCTGTCACCGAACGTGTTCATACAGCATCACCAGTAAAGGAAACTGCAACAGCAACAGCAGATAATCCTGTGTGAAATATAATGTACTTCACAAATTTGCAATAAAGCATAGTGCTTGTAAGTGGCAGCCAACAAAAGCCTCCGTGCACAATGGTAAATCCAACTTATTGGATGCAATCATGCATGTAAGTAAAAAGCTTCGTTAATCTCCCGTTTTCTTCAAGCCATCATGCTTCTGCTTTACTAGAAGGTTTTTCAGCCTAAAGAATGGATGATTTAGTGGTTAAATTTAACTTAGAAGTACTGGATATGTGATTACAATGGAGATTATAGCAGCAGCAAATTTATGAGTTTGGATTTCTGGGTGGATAATAAACAAATATAATTATTGACAATTATCAAGTGAAAAGATTGGTTCGAACACACGATACCTGAAGCGAAAAACCCTAACTTTTAAAAAGCAAATTGTTCGCAGACAGTTCGATTTGACTGATCAATTATTCCGCGCCTGCTAAACCGCAAACAGATTTTTGAAAAATTTATTTCTCAGAAGACCACGTGAAAATATGAGTTGACAAAGCACATGAGCTGTAAATTTCCGTGGTCACGAAACACATTTATAAGTGTCTTTTATGGAAATACAAGTTGACAAAATTAAATGAAGTTAGTTCTCTTCGAAATAAGTCTTATAAGTGATTAAAATGCAGCTTGTCCAGTACATGCGTTGTGGGTAATGCAGAATACAGATGTTTGAATCCTGTATAAGTGCCTTAACTTTTCAAGCTGTTTAGTTTCAGCCACACGCAAAAGGAGCTAGGAAAATACGTTTCAATGACGTACAAATTTTGCGCCTTAGAAAGTGCTGCTTTTGATTGGTCAAAGCCATACCCATGTTCCTTTTGCATCGGCTTGTTTGGCACCTGAATTTTTTATCACCACATTAAGTAGTTGCGGCCGACAACTTTACTATCACGGGAGATGCTGGTGGCTCTAAGGAATACCAACTACTACCCAAACTTCAGCAGCATTTGTGTTACTCTTAAATTATACTTCCAGACTATTGACAGTTCAGAATTCAGCGGACAAGTTCACAATCCGCAAGTAATAATCAAGTAGGGGACCAATTGTAAATTCATGCTGATGAAAACTACGGTATCAGAAGAATACTCCTCCTTTGTCAATGCAAAGGTATAATTAAGAATTTAGATTTCCAGGCATTTTAGAATATTTCTCCATTTACGCACTTGTCGCATTCGCTTTTCTGACCCATACCACGTACAAACTAACAAATTGAGCTGAAACACTATCAAGCATAACATGGCAAAGTTCATTTAAAATGATATAAGTATATAGGAATGATGATAAGCTGAGATTTCCGCAATACATCCAGCATGAGCGTATGCACGGTCTGTGCTCATAATTTACCTACATTATCATAGTTGCTTCCTAATTTTACCATTGAGGACCTCTATAGCGCACATGCCTACACAAACAATCACTACATCATAATAATATCTTTTTAATGAAGCACATAAAAATGTTTAATTAAGTCGCTATTACAAATGACCGCAGCCAGATCTGATTACCCATTGTAAGGAATGGCGAATGAGGCATTTTGTGCCAGTATATAAAGCCTTAAATAAAAAGCAGTTTCAAGGACTTTTAAGAAGGCGAAACAAAAGCAATGCCGATTCTTAGACGCAGGTTGATTCGAAGCTTGTGCTTCTAATTCAGGGTTAGCTTTACCTCTATCACCGACTTGCCATTTTGCAATAGTTCTGCTTTGTAGTGCTTTCAGGCTCAAGTTTACTTCAATTGCTTAAAACAATGGAAAAGTGGCAATTGCATTGCATTGCTGTGACACATATTTCTCCTTTCTAAACAGGAATACTTTTTGGGTATATAAAAGAAGAGATGCATGAATTACAAGTGTGTAAATTAACCACAGTTCACCTCACGTGCTGCAAACGTTTGTGCATTTCACTTGCACAGTTTAGGGAGAAACCTTTTAGCTGTAAACGTACAGGTGTGGCCACCGCATGACTTTTACAAGAAAAAAAGAAATACACAAGCCTCATTTTATTGTAAGATGGCTCTCCTCTTCTCAGTCATCCTTTGACCTGTCGTGACAGGTTTACTTTAACGCCTACGCTGCATCTTGCATTGTACGGTCCCGTGTCTTCGCTGAGATCAAAATAAGACAATAGGGTGGGAATAAACACAAATTAATAACGTACAGAATGCTTGAGTGGTCACTATTATAGATCAGAGTCCACGCTGAAAGCGAAATTGTAGGCTGCAAGAAATTGCGTGCTCATGTAGTTTAACACAAGTTGAAACAAAAGTTGCAAAAACCACTACATAGGCTCCTTTTTCCCCATATTTCATGGATTAATCTCACTGAAGTATAAACTACTAAATTAAATTTCTGGCAACTGAAAAGTCATTTAAACAGTAATAAAAACGAATGGGCACTAACTCCTTACTACCCGAGACCGGTTGATGCTCTGCCTTAAGCAAACCAAGTGGGCCCTTCTCTACCTGTAGAATTGTCGATCCAAAAGCAGAATCGTTTGATAAATAACAGGATTTAATGCATCTATTTTCCTCTGCTACAGTCCTCATAGATTGCGGTTAAAGTAATTCTCTCGTATTATTCTACTGTTATTAAACTCACCCACTGTCCTCTCAAGTTTGATACACCAAGGAGTTCTTAATTTAATAGATTCAACTTTTACATGAGTGGTGCGAATTTCTTGCATCACCAAAAGGACCGCTGAATGATGGACTCCAACCGGTTAGCTAGAAATATCGCTGGGTGCCCATGTTACAGGCATGAACAAAAGTGGATTATAAGGCCTTAGATGATTGATTTGTCACACTACCTAACGGTGACTGCAGTTTAATGACACATTAGCGAATGCTATTTAATTCCATTTACCACTACTAGATAACGGTTAGCCTACCTCTGGATCCCATCACCACCTCCGGACGTCTGTCAGTCAGTTCGGTCAACTCCTGCATATTGGCTACTTTGAGTCAACTGAGGTCATTAGGCAAATTGTGAGTTGATTAGTTGACTGGTGTTAATAATGATGCACTTTCCACTTAAATTGATGGAGAATATCAGTGGAGATCCTTGAAATGGTCTTTCTATCACCTTGGCTAAACACCCGTCCGGTATTTCATTGCATTGCTCACCTATCAATTTCAATAAAATCCGGTAAGATAAATGTTTTGTTTCAACTGATGATGAAAATGACCTCTAATACAAACGTCATGTGATTAAAAAAGGGCAAAAGTGCTCGTGATGCATCACTTGTGCATATGCGTTAACTCAAAAACTTCGCAAACCTACTTGCTTGTAATACCCACTTATTTGTGTGGGTGCACATTCACTGTTATCGTGTGTGTTACTTCTTAGCTTCATCAAGTCGATTCCTTGCCGCAAATAAGACGTCAACGCCTCTCTCTCCCGTCGTTACGAGATTCTGCCCAGCACCGTCTTGCTGTGGAAACTGCGTTATAAGTGGATGCTCACGAAAACGGCGCTGGACCCAAGGAATCAACGAATCTCGCTATTTCAAAATGCACATCTGCAGTGAGAGCAAGTGTATAAGATTGGTAGAAAACAAACACATCAGAGTAGAAGGCCTGCAAAGCAGCCCTGTATATTTAAATGCCCCTTTGATAGGAGCTAGGACACTTTCAAATTATTTATGAAGACATTTAGATCTAAAAAGTTATGTGAGTAAAACACGACAGTTTTGGCATGTAAATGGCATGAATGTTGATATCTGTCACTCATATCGCTGTAACCTTTCAGAAAACCTTTGCGCAGGTTCTTAAATAAGGACTCAGATAAAAACAGATGCTGTCAAGGACAAAGTACGAGGCAAATTCCCGCGGTACCACCACAGGAGAATATGTACAGGCGAAGCTGATTCTAGGAGCCAAATTCACATATTTCATTTTAAGGGCTTGAGAAATAAAACTCGTACAATGACATGATTTAAATTTAGTTCAATGAGCTACAATTTTACTAACAGGGAGGTTGCATTAAATAAGGCGTTAAGGATCCATATGCTACATAAGCTGTGCCTTGATATAAAGTAAAAAATAACTTGACATTTTAAAGTGTATCACTACCTAATATAAAGTGATTGCTGGACATGCTTATGTATGCTCCGACTCTGGTTGATTTGACTCCAATCTAAAGTACTGCATTGAATGAGAACAAAGCCTTGGTACACATGAATGTAGTAGTAGCTTGCCTTCTGCTTTTCATTTGCATAATCACGTTACCAAACAATGATCATGCTTCTCCAATGTATTAACTATTTGCTACATTTAATCTACCTAAAATGAAAAAGAATAGTAATATCCGCCACCTGCCATTTCCATATTTGCATTAAGTATTCTTCATTTGGCACATGTTTTTGACAACTATGCAATAAAACTTAAGATAAAATTGTATAGATCAAAGTGTTGGCTAGCTCAAAACAACCGTCAAGTTTCAAATGATAGACTGACTGTTAAAGCGTGGTGTCTTGTGCAAAGCTCGATAAAATTATTTAGGTTGAAAATAAGTAAAGTGGATGTCTTATTTTCAACCCTATCTACCCAGTCCCAAGCATAACAATTTGACTATCATTTATCTGTTAAAATACAAAGATATAACATGGAATAATTCACACACATCTTGGTTGTGTTACTAAAATAACTGGAAAAGAACTGTGGAACATTTCCAATCATCATTGGTATCGGTGACTTTCACTAAATTTACGTACATCACTGGTTGTGCACTTAGTAAGCGTTTTCAGTCACAATTCATCAACTGCGTATCCTCCTACATTTGCTGACTGGTAAACGCTGGTAGCAATAACATTACCATTGCATCCAAACTTAAAAATGAGAGTGCTTTTAGTTAGTGATTGGTCAAAACTGCCTGATGCAATCATGAGTTACAAGGTCACTTTTATGCATAAATATGTGCGATGAGCCTCTCAATTTCTTGGTCCATTTGTCGCAGTGTCATCCGAGCTGGGTGAGTTACAAATCAGTAAAAATAAATTATGAATTTGTATTCTCTGTACCACCTAGAGGACTTATGGTGTCGAATACGTCTTAGTTTCCTCCGAGAGAGGCTGAAGCCATGTCATCCTGATTTCTACTTCAACGTGTCAGCGGTCTTCAGATTTTGAATGGGCGCAAACTCTTGAGGCCCATCCAGACGTGCGGTAAAATTGTGCTCCCTCCTACTGGTAATATAGAATTAATGGTATTTCTTACACATGGTAAATTTGTGCCATTTAACTCCCTATTGGAATATTGCTTATAGTAGACACCAAATGTGAATATTTAACCTATTTCACCCGAACTATCGCTTATAACATTTCATATGTTATATAAAATTCAGTTAGGTGCATTCCAAGGAACCTGAAAACCTATCAGTTTACTAAAAGAAGAGTTAGCAAAAAATTAATTCGCTGGGTTAAAATGCCAACACAAGTTGCAACGAACAACCATTCAATGTTAAGGTCCCCCTCAAAAATTCCTCAGTATTTTGTTTTCGGAGATAAACATTGAGAACGTACTGAAGGAGTTATGGGTTGGCAAGCGAAATGACCTGGACATTACGACATGTCAACGGAAAGGAAGGTCGAAATGTAGTCTTTGGCATTCATCCATTCAACTGTCCAAGCTAGGCAAGTTTCATTGCTTGAGTATTGGCGAA